GGTGAGCGGGGGGCGCGGGGCTCCTCCCGGTGCTCGCGGCCTTCACGCGGGGCCTGCGCCCGCCCTCCACCTCACGGGCCCTCTGTGCTCCCCTCTCACCCCCGTCCCTTGCCCTCCTCTCCTGAGTCGCTGTCCCTAAAATAAGTTGTAAAACGCTAGAAATAAGCAGCGGGTTCAGGAAGCCGTGACTGGGAGCTGTTGGGGGGCGGGGGTTGCCCCCCTGTGAAGGGGGCGCCAGCCGGGAGCTGCCTTGCAGGGCGGGGTTGTCGGGGCCCAGCGTGGGGCTGTGGGTTCCTGTGTGAAAGTGTAGGTAACGCGTTAGTGTATGTCGGTAATCGGCGATGTAAAGTTTCTTCAGGTATTTGTTGTTGAGAGTCTTACATTTTTGTGTTTTCTTCTGGTTTTTTGGAATCCCCGAGGCTGCAGTCAGTTGTACAGACTCGCATGTAGCTTGTCCACATCCGTTCTCGAACAGGGACTGGAGGCAGCCACCTGAAAATGATGCTTTCAACACAGAAGATTTGCTGCAATTTCCTTTTTGTAAAAGAAGGGGGGGGGGGGAGAAGAAAAAGCACCAGACCTCACGGAAATCAAATTTTAATTTCTTTTCTGAGCTCTTTCTCTCTCTTATGTATCTGCACCTGGACATATGTGAAAATGCATTATTTAGTTGTGAAACACAACACTGAGGGAGGAGTCCCCCTTTCTAGGAAAGGAAGAGATACGCACTGACTTTGAACTCTTATTAAAATCTTTCGATGATAAGGCAATCTGTCATTTTCACAGGGCTTAAAAGAGTCAATCTATGGGTTTTAACTCAGTACATTTCAAATTAAATATTTTGCTAACTGGATTGTCTTCACTAGGATTTCACTTTGAGTTAATGGTCTTCCTTTTTCTTAGATAAGACCTTAGTTAGCTTATGTTAGCAAATAAAAAACCCAAACCCTACCTTTTTTAAAAACTATGTCACGATACAAAGTGTAGGTTTAATTGTGTTATCAGTCGTACTAACATGATGGAAAAGCACATTTACCATTTACTAGAAATGGGTGCCACATTAAATGGATTAGTTTGAGCTAACACGTGTTTATGAAGTTCTTGACCAGCACTGCTAGTACTTTGTGTACTGTTCAGTGTTTGTAAACTGATACAAAATGTTGCACTAGTGTCCAGACACTATGAAATTAAAGCTAATGGCAATAATCCTTTTTTTTTTTTTTTTCTTTTTTTTTTTTAAAGTGCTTGGGATTCCTGCATAATGTAGGTAGGACAGTGGTTTTTATTGTGGTGTTTGTGGACGAAGTTTCTTGAGCCTTCAGGGACAGGGGTTTTGAGGATGGTTTCTGTATGTCCTGCACTGGTGTGCAATACTGTGTTCTATTTGCAATTGTTTGTGCACTGGATAAAATTTGCAATATAACACTTATTTAATTTAGTAGTCCAGCTTTTGAGGATGATATATCACTATTACATCTATTTCAGTTTGGAAGTCTTGATATAAAGATATATTGAGTCTCCCTCGATTCTTGTATAAGACATCAAGGTGTGCATTGCTAATATTAAAGAAATGTACTGAACATTTATAACTGTACAAACTTAGAAACTTGTAAAGTCATATACTTAAAGGGCATTTGTTTCTCTGTAATTGCCAGCATTTTTATTTTTGGCATATTAGCCTTTCCCTTTGTCTCTTACCGTTTAGGGTGGAAAAAAGGAAAATCTCCTCCTTTATGCAGATTTTTTTTCATAGAAAGGGGCATGTGGTAGTTCTGTCAATCTGAGAACAACAATATGATTGCCAAGTAGGGCCTGGTTGCTGGGAAGGAGCTTTGCTTGCTGTATTGTATGTAGCAGAGTATTGTTGCATGTAACAGCTTGCTTTGCAGGCTCTTGCTTTGCTTTGGATTCAACACAGGGGGAAGAGAATAAGCACACAGCAGGAAAATATATGATGAGTCTTTATTTGCCTTTTTTTTTTTTAAATAGGTGAAAGATGGAGAGTTTGTAAACTCTGTCATACCAGGCTATTATTTTGGGTAGTGGAAAAGCCATGAAGTAAACCAGTGTTAGACCAGTGCTCCCGTGATTTATATCCATTTTGTGGCTATGATTTGCACAGTATTCAAAACCACTGTAAACTGTGTTTTGTTCAGAATTTACTGGCTTAATCATTCATTGAGATCTTTGAATTTTAAAGCAGTCAGAAAGTTCCTGGATGCCAGGAGTGAATGCTGTATACACCGAAGATACAATCTGTTTTCTTTTATAGGTAGCTTCTCAAGTAAATAATGTGCTCTTAGTTACCTCTATAGAGCTTCCTTGCTTTACTAGACCATAGACGACAATCTGAGTGTGTCTCCTAATTTTTATTCCCTCCCCCCCACCCCCAAGTGGTTGTATACTTGTTTTCTACATTGTAAACGGGCATTTAAGGCTGTTCTCCCAGTGGACAGTAAAGACCATGACCTTGATGTGGGATAGGAGAGATTTATGAGTCGTAATTGGTGACAAAAATAAGGCTCAGTTGTTTAGATTTTTCAGAAAGTGGAATCCAAACCAACAATTAAAAGGCAAAGTAAAATTGGATGATCTCAAACAGTGGTTCACAGAAGAATAGGTAGGCAAGGTAACCTTGGCAGGCAGTACTATTAATATAGAATACCAGTAAAAACGTTTGGTAGGTGCACAGCATTTGTTCCGGAAGGAGTGGCAGGAGTTCACATTCTGTTTTGCTGTGACGAGGTCTCATCATGTGCCTACTGAACAGACTTCCAGAGTGGGGTTAATGATACCATTAGGATTTGAGGAAATAGCAGAAGTATGGTTTTCGATGTAATTGTTTAAATGTCTGCAGCAATCTTCATCTTTAGCCAAGGCGTTACACTCCAATCGTGCAGTTTTAAGAGTTTAACTGCCTGGATCAAGCCTCTCTACAGTAAGAGTCTATGTGGCTATGGTAAACATAATTGTGTGAACCAGATTGCAGGAACAGAGCATTAAAGGTTTGTTCACAACACAGTTTGTAAGTTAGTTTTAAAAAGTTACTTTCACAGATGCTCTCTAAAGGTTACAGAAGAAATGATAACTGTAACAATTGCTGAGATTACTGAAAGATGGAAATGAGTTCCATTTCTGATGTTGACTTCAAGTCAAGAAGTCAACAAGACTTGTCTTCAAGTTTCTTATAGTTTAGCTGTGTTTTGATGTAGTTTTTTGCCAAGTGTGTTTGATATTATCTATTTTACTTTTTCACAGGAAGTGAATATTGAATTTGAAGCACATTCCATATCAGACAATGACTACAATGGGATAAAGAAATTACTACAACAGGTACTTTGACTTCTTGTTAGCTTGGTTGATATGTCCATTAACAAACAATATCTAAAGAGCTATGCAAAGTCATCAGTTCACTTTATCTGTATTGATCCATAGTTTTACTGTGCTTCAGCTCATGAAGATTAAATAATTACAGCCACAGTGAACGTGTGTCTCCTAAACCATGGTTTCAGGAACTTTACCCAATGAACTGTAGGGCTGTTCTTCCACAGTGTGTATAATCTTTCCATCTTCATTGTGTTAGTTGCTGCTGAGAAAACCTCGTTCAATGTTAATCAGCTTCCTGGAAGTTTTTTTTTTTTTGTAAATTACAGCCCCTAAAAAACAGACAAACAAGTAATGTGTCAGTTCAATGTGGCAGCTTCCAGTCTTCTTTTGGCTGTTTCTATTGTAAACCTATGCTGAGCAAGCATTCAGATCGTACCAAACTCAAAAGGATAACAGGTATAGAAAATGCCAGCTTGTGGAGGGTCGAAGAGCAAGCGCTTCAATAAGCTGATTTTTAGTCTTTGCAGTATTATACTGAAGGAAGTTAAATAAACAAACTCACTAAATGGAAATTAAAAATGGAACAGAGTGTTGCATAACAACTTAGAGAAATTCTGACTTTATTTTCTACTAAATAGAAAATTTAGATGATATATCATCAGGCCTAAAACTTCTTAACACTTATTTCTTATTTTCCAGTTGTTTCTAAAAGCTCCTGTTAACACTGCTGAATTAACGGATATATTAATACAACAGAATCATATTGGAAGTATTATCAAGGTAAGGCAGAATTTACTTTTGTAAATGAAGTAAAAAATACTTTTTATGTTGGAATGACAAACAGACTTTCAGAAGGGGATCCTGTCTTTGTAATTTGTATGCTTTTTTGCTTTTTTGCTTTGAGAACAATTCTTCTGTGGGAGCTGGAATTTTCCATGCCTACTTTCAACCAAACAAGGAATTTGATTGATTATTTTGGTTGATTTCTTTTTACATATGGAAGGTCCTTCACTTTTCTCTCTGAATTTTGGGGGTAGCAGAGTAATAAAGCTAGAAGTGCTGTAGAGAAGTTTGTTACCATCTCCATAAGAGATAGGACCTTGTGATTTCCCTGTATTCTCAGGATGTACAGAGATATAGACCAAAAATATCCCACATGCAGTTTCCTTTTGTGCAGAGTTCTTTGGACATAGGAGAGGATCTTGAAATGAGTCCTGAACAACTTCTGCTGTGGCACTCTGTGGAGCACGCTGCAGAGGCTCCTGAGTTACTCCTGGCTAAGGAAGCTGTTCAGTACTGTATAGTGCTCGAGATGTTATGGCCACGTTGCTTTCAAACCCAAACAAGCTGCCCCCACGGCACAGTTGTGCTGTTGTACCATGTTGCATGGTATCATTGCTATACATTCCCTTTTTGTCCCTTTTTGCCAACAGTTTTTCCGCCCAAGTTTATTGTCATCCTTATATTACAACTGCATGACCCCCAGTTCTTTCCCCAAGTTTTTCATTGCGGAGTTGTGTTGAGTTTTTTGTTTCACTCTCTATCAAAGCTCTATTGCTCTATGTTTTTTAAGACTTTGCAGGTTTATATCCCTACATTAGAAACTGAAGAAAATTGGTTTTGCTTAAGATATTGCTATCCCTTGTACTGAGATGTTGCTTATTATATGAGAGCTATCAAATTTTAGTGCCTTTCAAAAGATCCTACTGTAGAAGATACATGACCTGGCTCTCTATATAGCTGCCTTTAAGTACATACAGACGTTCAATGATGCGGCACTTTCATAACAGTAACCAGAATTTGTAGGTTGTGTGTTTGTACAGATTACCTAGATGGTTGTCATCTGCCGAGCATCTTCTGGAAAGAAAAACATTTCTTGCTGCAGAGAGTGGAAATAGAATGTCAATATGAGTTGTTGCTTTTTCTTTCATTAAATAGCAAGCAGAAGTCCAAGAAGACAGTAGTGACGATGATGATGATGATGAAGTTTTTGGTTTTATAAGCTGCTTAAACTTAACGGAAAGGAAGGTTGGTATTCCTCATTAACGACTAGATAGGAATAAGTGAGACTGCTTCCTGCTTTCTGCTTTGTATAACAAACCTAGACAGCCAGATCAGGATTTTGAATTCCACCATGGAGGACTATGGTCTTAAAAGTTCCACATCACTTAGCTTTCTTTTGGATTTAGTCCAGCGTAACTTGCTGAAGGTCAAACATAAAGCAAAGAGTGGAATAGAGAGTTAAAACTAGGTCTAATAAGTAGTTCCAGGATAACTGAGCTGTCAACCTCTTGTATTTCTTCACTTTAATCTTTCGCAGCTTTTGAGTTTTCCTGTTGAGTGTACTGGTGTTGCAGCTCCTAGTTGCATTCCTATCAGTTAAGAACCTTTGTTTGCCCTCAGCTTCAGGGTTGGTAAATAATTTCAGAGAAATTGTACAGTGCTTTAGAGACCACTTAAGGAAATTGCCAATAGGCCTGTAGAATATTCCCTTGAAGTTCACATTCAAGGTTTTCTTGTGTAAATAATTGTTCTATAATGTAAAGAAAATACACCATTTGATTCTAGGGTACACAGTGTGCTGAACAAATCAAAGAGCTGATTCTAAGTCGGTGTGAGAAGAGCTGTGAACAGCATGTAGTTGAACAACTGAATAAGCTTCTGAATGACAATACTAAGCCTGTGGGTCTTCTACTAAGTGAAAGATTCATTAATGTACCACCACAGATTGCTCTGCCCATGCACCAGCAGCTTCAGTAAGTTGTTTGTTTGATTTTTTTTTTTGACATGGTGTTGAATAGTACTTTTTCTTCGTATTTTTTCAGAAATCATACGGATATAGAACTATGTTAAGACAGGTGATACTATAGATAAAAGTAAGACATGAACAGAAGAAATTATTTTCATCTCATATAAGGTCTTTAGTTAATTTTTAAATATTTTTAATATCTTTAGGCTTTTCAAACTCTTTCTACTTCAAGAGAGAGGAAATAATTTAAGAATATATGCTGTTCTACTGCAGAAATAGCTGTGTGTATATTGTAGTTTGTATCGCAGATTATTTTCATATTGATTAGGAAAATTTAAAAATGAGAACTTTTTTATAGCATGCTGATAATGAGCAACTTGGATGTTCCTGCATATATGTTAATTTCTGGCTCTGGAATGGAAGATTTGGACTGAGGGACAGGCTTATAAGGTGGATGAGTTCTGGCGCATGAAAACCATATATAGCGTTTTGATTAGTTTCAAGTACATGAGTGATGCAGGTTAGGTGCTGGTTGATCTCTACCAATTTATGGATTTGTATCATAGGCTGGGTGACAGTAATTAAATGCATCATGAATCCACTGAGATACAGCGTTATATTGTTTTAGTGCCATGTTGAGAACCAGGAAATTGTGTTCAATAAGGAACTCCAGTAATCAAGTGAAGATTTTTTTTTTCTTCTCCCCCCCTCCCCCCTTTCTTTTCTCTCGTTTCTTCTCTATCCTTTCTATATTAATACATTATAAGGTTTACTTATACACTTGTTGAGGGTTTAGATTGTATGTGTAAACATTTATTTATCTTTAGGAAAGAGTTGACTGAGGCACAGAGAACAAACAAACCTTGTGGAAAGTGCCACTACTATCTTCTTATCAGCAAGACCTTTACAGAAGCCACAAAGAGCAATTCTAAGAGGAGGGAAGGGAGAAATCAGCAAAAGGAGGAACTAATGTTTGCAAATGCAGAGGAAGAATTCTTTTATGAGGTAACATATGTGATTCTTTTAATTTAAAATGTTTATTTTTCTTTACATATCAGCAAAAAAGGTGTTTCACCTTAAATTCAAGGGGGGCTTTTAAAAAGATACAGTCGCATACCTTTTTAAGTAAATCCAGCTTTTTTTAGAGTAGTATTGAGAGATGAGCAAGCAACCTATTTTTGTGTATTGAACACAACACCTTTTGTTTTAGAGAATCATGGAGAGGTGTGCCATCCATAAATCCAAATTATTAAATTAATCCTAGGTATTGGCATGAATTTACTAATATGTTATTTATATCAGGTCACAATTAACCTGATGATAAGATAGTATAGTGTAGACTGCCTGTGGCCGTGTTGCTACCTGATAGGGTCTCCAGTGCTATGAGGAACAGGAAGACTGACTGTGGGTGTGTGAACTGCAGGAAGTGCAGGTTAGCTTGATTATCTGTCAGTGAGATTCAAGCTAACATGATTTACATCACAAGGGTGTTTAAGAGTGGCAGCTTAGGTAGTGGCTTGCAAGGGTGCTCTAACTTAATTATGTCACAGCTTTAAGCACTTAGAAGAATAAAGATTCAAAAAGGTGCAGAGGAATCTCTGTTGTTAGAGTCTTGATGAGCATCTGCAATGCATGTTAATACTTTAATACACAGATCTCTCTTTCTTGCCCCTACATAGTTAGTCCTGTGTCAGAAAAAACAGCTGTTAAGGCTTTTTTTAGGTTTGGTAATGCAGTTAGATGCATTTCTCCAAGATCTCTTCCCAAGAAACTTAACAGATGCAAAGCTCTGCATTTGTGTTGTCATTGTTGGTACTATGTGGAAAGCTATTTCCTTTTGGATACCTGTTACTTTCAAAAAATGCTCAGAATAAAAAACTTTTGAAGATCCAAACAAGTAGCTATCAATTCCCTTTTCTGTCTCTATTCTACTCAGGACAAGTATATTAATAAAAAGTGCTAAAATACTGAGATGAAAATACTATTTCCTATTTCTTAAGGCAACCTGTCTAGACAATTCTGCTGGTCCCAAGCCAAATCAGGAGAGGGGAAGATGCAGGAAATTAAATTAAAAATTTACTTTGAAATGCAAAGAATTTTTCATTGTTCTTTTTTTTTTTTTTAAGCTTTAAAAATATTATTCTACAATATTACTGCTTTGTCAAGAGCCCATTATTTTTCATTTCTGGCAGTGCCTACAGGATAAAGTATTTGCACATGCATCATATGGTTAATGGCAAAGGTTCCTGTTTGTAATCATTCATGACATTCTCTGTTAGAGTCTGTGATATGGCTGTAATTTTATTTCTTGGGAAGAAGAAAAATGTAAGTGGGTGAATTCCTTGTTAGCTATAGGGAATACTGTTGTAGCCTCTATGCAGTAACAAGTTTGGGATTTTCTTTTTCAACTGAACTTGAACTCTATGTAAACATGTTACTGAAAATCTGAAAGGGAGAAGCCTGTGATGCCTATGTGACCATGGGTGTTATGTTCTAGAAGGCTTATTTTGTATTTATCTGTTTTGTTACTTTGAGTGGCATTTTAAAGACTAATTGTGTCCTTTTATCTTAATTGCAATAATTTTCAACTCAAGTGGATAGACTCAAACTGAACATGCTTTTCTTTTTAACAGTCTTTCTAGTGTTTTTAACAAATTCATTTAAAACATTACGGAGGATATTAGATTAAGTGGGTCTCCGTACTTAATAATGTATATGTGTTAAATTAGCATTGGAGTGTATATCCCCCCAATCACACATAACGTTAATTAGACTGCCATAAAATAGTATTAAATGCAGTGAAGCAGACGCTTCGAGCCATATAAAACAGAGAGAAGCCTTTTTGCACTTGTCAGTTCCCTGTGCATTATTCTGTTCCTTAAAATGTTATTTGAGGGAGCAGAAGAAAAGCTCTATTATAACCAGACTTGGAATTGATTAAAGGTTTAGGGCCTCTGTTACTCAAATTGTTTGTTCTTGAGCAAAGCCACTCAATTAATTTGATGGTTCTTCCAAAATTAAATTTACAACCTTGAGATACTGTTAGTAAATAGCAATCCTAAAAGGAGACTGGATTTTAACTTTCCCTGGAAAGGGAAGAGGTTAGATAAGTTTTTCTACTTAGGACTTCTGTTCATACTTCTTAATCTGACTTGTATGAGAACTGAAAACATTTGTTAGATAAGTTTTTCTTATCCATCAGGCATTTTGTCTAGGAAAGCTATTAAAAAAGGACTGTTATATCTATGCACTGAAAAGAAATAATGCACATTACGGACGCCTACCTATTTGAAGAAGCATCCTTTATAAATATGTCTTTCAATGGCTCCAGCCATCTAGAGACTTTCCAAGAGCTTTTTGAAATTCTGCTCAGCATTCATATTAGTGCCTATTCCCTTAATATTTAACTTCTACTGGCAGTGTGAAAGAGGGGATTACTGTACCACATATTCTTACAGATACGTTAATTTTTAGGACTCTGAGCAGTTCTAGAGTAGGCCACGAAAAGAGCAGAGCCTATTCATTGCTACAGGCCTTCCACATGTTGCCCATGCCAAGCTATCATCTTTAATGCAGGTTCTATTCTACCTGCACTCTCTCGCTGTTCCTTTTATCTGGGTTTTGGCTGATCTGCTAATTCTCAAAATTACACAGCTAGTGGTTTGCTCTTGTTCCAGGTTTGAAGGTCTGTTAAGAGCCTGATATTGGTCAAGGATCCCTGCTAGTTGGCACAATAGCTTCTAAGGGTCACCATTTCTTAATGTGATAGTATGGAATGAGGTGCTGTCTTAAAACCATCTAAAATGAGACACAGTAAGCATATAAAGGGAGCATTGATTTTTTTTTTTTTTCCCTCCTAGGTCTTTTTTCTGATAACAAACTGTGATGATAGCAATAATTTTAGAATTTAATATGAATTATATAAGTTCTATGAAAAGCAAATAGTTTAGAACACTTAATAGTAGATGCTCTTGTAGGTTTTTTTGGTGGACTTTTTGAGAGGGAACAAAATAACTTCTTCTTAATAAGCATGTGCATAATAGGGTCATTATTTTTACTTTGTTTAGATGATGTATTATCTTCATGCTAATTAAAAATTTTAATCCTAATATAATTATTTCTGTTGTTTAGAAAGCCCTTCTGAAGTTCAACTACTCTGTGCAAGAGGAAAGTGACACCTGTTTGGGTGGCAGATGGTCCTTTGATGATGTACCAATGAAACCTTTGCGGACTGTTATGATAGTTCCGGCTGATGGAATTAATGTAATTATGGATAAACTCAAAGACTATCTCTCACTCTGAACTTTCCTATAAACACCATTTTTTGTAAAGCAGCCATGCAGAACTAGGACTTCACAATATTTTCAGAAGACTGCTATTGAGTTAATGGTTTTGTACTGCTCAAATGCTTCCTCTGTACGCTTAGAAGACAAGTAGGTGGTACAACTGAAAATATCCATCGAATTAATATTTTAAAATACTGTATCTTCTTATACCTTGGTATCATCATTAAGCAGTCAGTAAAAACCCAATGTTACAAGGAAACTTGAAAATCTGCTCAATATGTTTATAACCAAACCTAAATCGTACATTTTTGTTATGAAACAATGGATGCAAATCCTTTTGGTAAGAAAAGTGCTTTTTCTATATGTTTCTTCTGTTAAATACGTTTATGTCAAAAATTTGAAATAATTACATGGGTTAAGGTGAGGATGTATATTGTAGACTGTTCATTTATATTTGTCCAATATATGATAGTTCAGTTTAAAATCACTGAATAATACATCTTTGTTCAGTGGGAGTTTGGGGAAATTTTTCATTTTCTTTGCTGTCATTGTTAGTTTTCTGTTCCTCCTTCATGGTTGAAACAGGTGACAAGTGATTGATCACTTCCTGCAGAATATCCTTACTTTCACTAGGAGGAAGATTGCTAAAATAATACTGAGGTACCAGCTCCGCGAATCTGGTGAGGAAATAAGACAAAACATTATTATTTTTTTTTTAATTGAATTTTGAAATGTTTGAATAGCTATTTCCAGGCTTGTACAAAAGACACCAGCAATGTGCTGATGCATACAGCTACAAAGTTGGTGTTTCAACTCAAAAACAAAACTCTCTGCAACACGTAGTAGTGGTTTGTGCTTTCAGTAGACTTGCACTTAATGTACACAGTCTACACTTCAGGTGATTGTTGTTCAGTTCTCAATGCTGCAGATTGCATTAAATAGTACTTTTTCTGGATTTGAACATATTTTTGGCTGAATAACAGTATGAAAAAGGCTTTCTTATAAACATTGAAAGTAGAAAAGATAGGACAGTGAAATGTATATTCTCGGTGTAAAGAGATTTTTGCAGAAGGAAGAGTGTAGTGTTTTCTTGAATCCATAAACAGTTGATATGGGGTGATTTAGCTGGCTGGGTACATAAAACATGTCAAGAAAAAGATTTGCTGGAAAATAGCTTTTCAGGGAACAAAGAAATTTCCAGCTAGATTAATCTATGAGTACACTGCTGTGTTAACTCTTCCTTGATTTTTTTTCTGTATATTTTACCTTGTAAGAAACTTTTGCTGCTTGTAAGGTGTTTTTTCAAGGGATGAATTGATTAAAGTTACAGTGGCAGACATTGAGACTTACTTCAGTACCTGAACAGATCAGCACACGTTAGGAAATACAAAAGGCTGACTTAAATGGCATTTTGTTTTGCATGAAAAGAATAGCGAGGGCATGAGATCACAGTTCTTCCCTTTTTTAATAGTTCTGAGCTCTAATTCAGTGAGTGTTCTGAATGAAAATGAAGACATCAGGGAAAGCTACACACAGTGACAGAACAATACTGGCAAGAAAGAAATAAAATTTATTCCACGTATATTCACTAGTGAATATAAAAAGTGTGAAAAACAACAGTTTCTTCACACTTCCAGTGATGCCAACTCCTCTTGCTTGACTAGGTATGAAGATTGTCCTTTTCTCTTATACCTTTTTTTTTTTTTTTTTTTTTTTTTTTGTGGTGTAAACCAACATCCCTATTGGAATGTTTTCTCAGCAGAACCAGAAGATAGTTATTTTTGTGACAGAGATAAAGGAAATGGAGAAGATGACCGGAGTTGACTTCTCCAAGCATTGCTCTCAGTCTCTCAATGTACACACACATCCTCACCCTGTCTGTGACTTAAGTGACGCTTTTGTGGTAGAAGTATGAGTGAAGAAACAGTTTCATCATTGTTAACTTACAGATCGGGTGATATCTCAGAGACGACTCTGATGGAATTGTCTTCCGATATACTAAATTCATGGAATAAAACCCACTCAGGAATCCTTCTGGTGTTATAGTATGATGAGAAAGGATGAAGCTGGGCCACTTGTCTGTGTGTTAACATTAAGTAGTTACCTGAGCCATCTACATCACGAGCAATCTAAAAAAAAATGCAGAGAGTTATCCATTACTTAATTGAATATACAGGATACATAGATCAGTGTTTGCCTATTAAAACCAGGAATTAAACTTGTGTTCAGATACTTTCAACTGGAGAGCCTAAACCTCTTCCCAAATTTCTGTGGGAGAGCTAGGGAAAGGATACTATGAAATGAAGCTTAGAGTTAAGGTAAATGTGTATCTGTGTATTTGAAAGCAAACTGTCTGCAACAAATGTGGGCAGGCTTATACAGTAAATTTCTGAACTTGGTGGTGGGCTTTGAAGGGTCTGTGTGAAAACAGATGTATTCTTAAAGAATTATAAGACTTTAAAATACAATGTGTGGCTGGGCACTTGAAGTGTAGGTTTGGAGGCGTCATTCTTGTATTTAGGTGGAGCATAGTGATGTGAAGGAAAGCATGTTTTCAGGTGGGAATAAATTAATCTTTCTTGTTCATGTTTACAATTACAGTTAGAATACCTCTTTTGGTTGAGAGTAAGCAAGCTGTACATTATATATACCTAAATATATTCAACAAGTCAATTCTGTGTTTCCAGGGTATTTTCACAAAAACGTCTTCAAAAAGGAAATAATGTCTGAGAGAGTATTACAAGTTAAAGGGTTTTTTGAGGTAAAAGAGTTCTTTGAGTGAAAAGCATATTGACAGTTTTCCTTTTGCAGTGAAGTGTGTGGACTTCATGCTGTGATAGCTGAACCCCAGAGAGAAGATTGGAATTGGCAGAAGTGTTTGTCTGATACACTGTGGAAGAAATGGCTTTTATCCTTTCTGATGATCAAAAGATTTCACTACCTAACTTTAAGTTCTCTGGAAGCATTCTATATAAGTTAACAATGCAGTAAGATTTTTCCACAATATTTTTCCTTACGTGCATAAAGTAACCAGATAAGAGAGATTTCTTAATGCTTAGTATATTTTCTTTTGATCCAAAGTCCGGTTCTGAAATGGGAAGTTCAATACGCTTCATAATCTCTACTAGTTCGGCTCTGATAACTTCTGCCATCCTCAGTGCAGAACAGCTTAGAAAATAATCGCGACACCATTTCTCATTACTGTAGTCTGTGGAGGAAAAAACAGTATTTTGGCTTAAATCAAAGTCTTACTGATAGGTACTATCCACAGATACTGCTCTGTAAAATGCTCTTTGACTGGTGCAATAGATTAAAAACATTTTGGAGTGAGTAGCTGTATCAGAGCTGTCCAAAATTCTGCTAACAAGAATCATACGGACAGCTTAGGCTCGTAGATCTTGCTTGTAAAGTGAGGGGGCAATACTTGATGTCCTTACTTAGTTTTATGGAATTTTAGCTATATTTTTCTGAATAAATATATTCAAAATCCCTTACTTGGTCTGTAAAAAGTAATGGCTTCAAATAGAATTTCTGGATTCAGGCCGGGATATGGAACTGAAATCGCATTTGTAGTGCTGGTGATGATCCTGCATGCTGGTAAAGGACAGGTTCTCTTGGACCTCTTTTCAGCATTCAGCATGACTGAACGTGAAACAATCCTACTGTCCTGTCCTAAGTTTTTACTTAGTATATGCAAATCTATCACTCCCATGTCTAAGTACTGGACTCAGGCTAAACGAACCTGAGCAAGATCTTTGGGCCCAGGGAAATACTGTGAAGACCTTCTGTCTGCTGTGCAGCCCCGTGGTTTTTATTCAGTTTCCTGTACATGTGAACTTTACTACTTTCAATTTTTTTCCTTGAACTTTCTTTTTAGTTGACAGCTGTCAGAAAAACACCAGAATTGTTGGTCTGCTGGGGGAATCAAGTCCCTTCTCAACTGTGTTTATGTCGTTTCACATCTTAAACCTGGATTATGTGCTCTTAGAGAAACCATCTTTCTGGTTTTGAACAGTGTCACTTCAAATTACAATAGTAATAGTGCTGACGTATCCTTGTTGGATGAGGTACGCTGTCCTAGGTCACTTTCAATTAATTAATAAACTAAAACTAATATTCGTTTGTAATGGCTACTATTTTAGGTTTTTCTTCTCTCTGCAAATTAGCAATTCTAGAAAGAATCATTCGAGAAGGGTTTATGAACGAAATGCCAACAACGTTCTTTTTTTTGTTTTGTTTTTTCCAAGTTGGTTACAATGTGCTTCATTTTGTCTGGTATGGGTACACTTACGTTGACTTGCGGAGTTTGCACTGGCTTCCTTGAAGGCGTTGAAGACATTGATAAGAGTAAAGTGATCTCCTGCAGGGTGTGAGAATTTTCGCCAGCAAGTAAGAGCAATCTCTTCTGTTCCAGGAGGTGCGTGTAAGAAGCAATTAGGAGCTTAGAAAAAAATCAAGGCAGTGGTTACTAAGACACATAGGTACATGCACAAATAGTAACTCCATGATACTTTTCTTTTTTTCCTTTCTCAGTTCCCTTTAATCTTCTATGTTGAATTGCTGCTGAAGACTCTACACATAGGTGCATGCACAAATAGTAACTCCACTGATGCTTTTCTTTTTTTCCTTTCTCAGTTCCCTTTAATCTTCTATGTTGAATTGCTGCTGAAGACTCTATTGCATTCACTAAGGTTTTATTTATGTGGATGTTCTTTCAATCTCTAGTTTAGTTAATTTAGCTAATTTGTGCTGTAAACACAAAAGAAGGTGAGAAGCTTTCTCCTAGACTGATGCCAAAAAAGCTTCATAATGGCATGATCCAATTTATCCAGAATCCAAGCATATGGTTTCTTTAATATAGAAAGAAACAAATCTATGGATGTAATGCCTTAATTTGCTCATATATGTTTAAATTTTTGCCTTCCAGTGCATTTTACTTCTGTTGTGGTGCTGTGCTACATAATTATGTCTTTTGAGATGATTGAGCTTTTTAAAAACTAAAATGTGCCTATGCTCAATCATTTACATTTGGTTTACATACTTAAAAATTTTATCACAAGTTTAGGCCCACTATTAAAAATCAAGTCAGCTTGAGCATAAAACCAAGTTGTTCCATAAGGAGAAGAACTAATGCAGCTTGGTGTGCTGTGGGTTCACGTCCTTGCTGCCAAAGACTCCTCACCAATTTCTGGGCCTAGGATATTCCCTCTGGGCAGAGCACAATAATGCCATGCCAAAACATTCTCTGCTGGCAA